GGACTTAACATTTTGCAAGAGAAAAGTTCCCCTCTGATTTCTGCAGTAGGCACCAATTTTAGTCCTTCTGTGTTTTGCAAGCACTGAGGAAATAAAGCATCTGTGGGGAACTGCTGAGGTGGCCGTGAGGAGATGAGGCCTAAAGCTGAAGGAACAGTTCACAGCCTGTTCTTAAACACACAATATATTAGATATGATGTGTTTTCTCTCCAGTCTCCTCATCTCAGAGCAAGACTGCTCTGCTTTCTGTGTGAAACACAGTTAGTATCAAACTTCAGGTGAGACAAATAGCTAAACCCAGGTATGAACACTCCCCACTCTCAGCTGGCTGAGTTCCTCTCCTCTCCTGCTGATGTGGCAGTGCTAGCTAAATGATTTGGGAACGAAATAACGATAGAGAACACACATTCCATGTCCAACCCTGTTCAGAAGTGCAGAAGGACTCGTGGGAAGGGGAAGGGAGGCTCATGTGGCACTGGAGAGACAACAGCTTTTCTCTTAGCTCAGAGTAGTTCACAGTAGCTCCAACCCCAAATCTGTGGCCACTTAATGGAATTAATTCTATCCCTTCTCGACTTGGTTGAGTTCCAGATCTTTGTCGTGGTGCTAACAGCCTTTCTATTAGATCTCAGCACCTCCCATGCTAAATCCATTTATTTTGTTAGTGCTGTGTTCACAGTCTCCCAGATCAGATATTGTCCTATCAGTCAGCTCAGAAGATGAGGTTATTAATGCTGATATGTAAATAGAGCTCGGAAACAAAGAACTGGATTTTCTAAGCATAAAACTCTCTTTAAAAAATGCCAATACAAGTCTGTTTGGTTCTAAGGGCTGCAGTCTGTGCCTGCACACATGTATGAACTGTGTAGATACAGATCTAGGCTAATAGTAAAATACAGTCTAATACTTAATCGCTAATAATTGGAAGCTAAACACGCAGCACAGCCACAGGAAACAGAACTATCAAAACAGAGGGTAACAACACCAGAAAAAGAACTTTTTTCTTGCTTGAAGATAAGCAATTGAAGCTCCATGCACATCTCAATTTAATACCAAGCCCTGTGCATTCCCTGCAGCCAACGTGATCGTGTTGATTTGCTAAATACTCCCTGAGATCCTGACTCATTTGGGGGTTTGTTTATCTGCTGCCATTTCCAGCAGAGGGTTTTGGCATCCTGCGTGGTAGTAACAGCTCCGTCCACGCCGGGGTCTTCCCCGACTGTGGGGGATCCTCAGTGACTCACAGACTGCAGCTCATCTAGAACTGTGTGGGAAGCAGAGGAATCACAGTGCCAGGAGCCAGTCAGCAAAAAGAGGGAGGAAGAGGATTTTCTGTTACTTCAGGAAAATCTTGAGGAGTTCTGGCATCCCTGTTTCCCCTGGGTAAAGGCATTTCTCGTGTGCTCCTTAGGGAGTGCCTCTCCTGCCAACTCACTTCAATACTGTAATGAAAAACATTCTATCAGATGCAAGTCTGAAGAATAAGCCCCAATAAACTGCAGATCTCCAGGATTTAATATGCTGTTCTGAGCTCAGGTGTTATGAATAGGTGCTGTGAATAGGATGCTCCTCACAGTTCCTCTGAGCAGATAAGAGCAGTGTTTTTCAAAAGAACACAGATAAAGCTGCTAAGGTTGTCCTGAGATACAGCAAATCACCTTCTCACCAGAGCTTTCCCTCAAATTAAACACTGGCTTCATTGTGATGGAATATGTGCACAGACAAGAAGAAAAAGTAGCATTATTTGCAGGGAAGAAACCCCAAACATTAAATATCACAAATCAGGTGTGTTTTGAGGCTTTATGCTGTTATTACAGGTCCTGCAGGCCCTTGGGCTTGTGTTTGCTTTTAACATCAAGCTGCCACAGTCAGATCTTGGCAGGTTCTTTGGACTGGCATCGTTTTCACCTTGGTTTTTCTCTGTTTTACACAATCCAGACCTGCAAATAGCTTATTTCCTGGTGACATCAGAGACTTTATAAACCTCAGCAGAAAAGGCTTGTTGAGGAATCAAGCTTGACTCCTCAGTGCTCTCCTAAATAGACAGGATGGCACTTGTGAGTTTGGTTGAACCCCTTGGGATGGTGACTCCACTCCTGCTCTGGGCAGTCTGTGCCAGGGCTGACAACCCTTTCTGTGAGGAAATTTCTCCTAACATCTGATATAAACCTCCCCTGCTGCAACTTTCCCTCTCATCCTTGTAATTCTAGGTAGGACTTCAGAACGTGAGGAGAGTCTAACATTCCAGCACTGTGGTATTCCAGCATAAAGCCTTGTGCTGTTCATTCCTTGGACAGCAAACATTGCAGAGGTGTGTGGGACCAGTCAGGGACAGTCTCTGTAGCCTCCTCAGCTTAGAGTGATGGGGTCACAACTGACTGTTTGCTCACCCTGGATTTTCACCTGTAGCTTCAGCCCAGCTGCCCTGGGCTGGAGACAGCAATGTGCAGCTCCTTTCTATAGAACATGTTGCAGTTAAAGGACATTAAATCCATTTGCAGTAGAAAATAGCAAGACAAGAGAAGGAAATTTGTAAAATCGTATCTTTACAGTGCCCATAAACCCAGAACTCTACTCAATAAACCCAGAAATGCCTTCTCACCAAGGAGGAACAATAACTGTAACGTGCAACTAAGAGGTAAATATTCAATAAAGAAGGGATCAAATCTGATTTTTTTGCAAACTCCAGACATGCTCTAACATATTTTAAAAGCACCTTTGAAGTCTTTTTCAGGCAGTTTGATTTTAAAGCATTACATGATCCATAATGCTACAGCAGAGCTCCATCAGCACTAAAACATCACTGGGGCCCACAGACTTCCTTCTGGCTCTGCTGAGAGACAAGTGCAGGAGGGACCCTGAGGGCAGGAGTGTTTTTTGGGGGCTCTTGGTGGCACTGCCAGGACACAGCAGCTCCAGGCACCTCAGTCCTGCCTGCAGCTGGTACTGGCTGCAATCCCCTCCTGCACTATTAACTGGCAAAGGCTGTGACTAGAAAAGCCTGGAATCAAATCAGTTCAGCTTCGAATGTCATCAGTTTTCCTAGAACTGGCTAGTTTGGGTCAGCTGCAAACGTGATGCTGTTGGAGGGTAACATCCATCACAGCCACAGCTCAGTCTGTGCCAACCTCCTCAGCTCTTTCTACTGTTATGGGCTGGTTAGGATTTATTTTCCTAGTGCAGTCAGTGCCTTATTCAATTCTCCCATCGGCTGGAAGCGATTGGAGAAGGGATGTTGGTTCTGCAGCTGGTTCTCCCCCTCCAGCAGAGTCTTCTCAGTCCTCATTCAAGTCTCAGCTACCAGAGAGACAATCTGACTCAACAGGGTCAAATGCTTTGTGGCTGCCATTCCTCCTTCCCCTCCTGCACAGCACAACAGCAGAAAGGTCCATGAAGTGTGGTTTGGTGTGTCCTGCCACAGCCCCGTGCCATCATCCAAAACAAACACCCCAATTTCAGTATTAATACCTTCAGGTCTGGAACAGAGAGTGTTGTATAAATGGCACTGCTGTCACCTCTAGCCAAGATGACTATTTTAAACCTATCTTTAAAAGCTGCATTTAGTTTTATTATTTTCTGTAGTACAATCGTTTGGGGGCTGTGACTCAGCTGAGGCTTCACTACATTCTGATCGAAAAAGATGCTATTTCCTGCTCTCTGTTATTGCAGTTTATCATTGCTGTGTTCTCTCACAGAATCCCAGACTGGTTTGGGTTGGAAGGACCTCAAACCCCATCCAGTCCCACCCCACCATGGGCAGGAACACCTTCCCATGGTTGCTCCAAGCCCCATCCAGCCTGGCCTGGAACACTCCCAGGGATGGGGAATCCCTGCAGCACAACCTGATCATTTCATTGACATAAAAAGGCAAAACTTTGGTTGAGAAGCCTCAACTGCAATCACCAGAGCATGAGGCTCACAGTGTTGCCTCCAATTCCAAGAGCTCTGCTCCTTAAACCCTCACCCACACGTGCCTCATGCTCACATGCCTTGTATTTTACCCAGAGCTGGTGGCACACGCACTGACCTGGTTAACCTCCGGGTCTGCTCTTAAACTCTGCCCCGGAGCTTAATTTTCCAATAAAATGAGAAGCTTTCACAAAGAGCTTAGGTTTTCCTGGAACATGTGCTTAAAGCCCCTCAGCCCCCAGAGGATCTGAGGCACATGGACACTGCTGGGTTGATGGGTGTGCTCTTGCCCCAGGAGCTCAGGCTGAGCCGAGGTAAGTGTGTGGCTTACACAGTAACTTGGCCTCGTGGGGAGCAGTTCCCTCCTGCACAGGGCAGTGCAAACAGCTCGAGTAAGGGCAGTGCACTCCCTTAATCAAATTTACTGATATTGTTTGGTGCTGAGCTGGATTAAATCTAAGCTGTTATCTGGAACCGATTTGATTAACTACGATGAATTTTGGCAAAGTTCATATGCATTTAGCTTTGAGCTCATAAACCACCAGCTCCTGAGCCTTTAGCCCACGGGGCTGAGAGCCAAGCCTTGGGAGCAGCCCTGGCACCCTGAATCCCATGGGGATCCTCCACCCTTAGCATTCCTCAGCCATTCAAGCCACCACTGCAGAGCAAAATGCAAAGGTATCTCAAAGTTGTCCTTTCAGATAATTCACTCAGGGAGATTTGTCATGTAAACCCCAAGCACAAGAGAGGTCCAAACCTCACAGAAGTTTCCCATACCAGGTTGGGATTTTTGGAAGAGATTGGTGTTAGAATAAGGATTGTTTGCAGATATTTCTCCTTAAAGGTTGAAGCAGTTTTATGGAGTGCTCAGGCATTGGAATGTGCTGCCCAGGGAGGTGGTGGATTCACCATCCCTGGAGGTTTTCAAGCTGAGACTGGATGTGGCACTTAGTGCCATGGTCTGGTACCCACAGTAGGGTTGGACTTGGTGATCTTGGAGGTCTCTTCCAACCGGGTTGATTCTGTGAATTAAATCATCTGTGAACTGTACACGAGCTGAGCATAACATATCCCTAATCTGTTTTCAGGAACAGCTGCAGACACTGGTTTGCAGAAGACTCCGGGACACAGAGGAGCAGCTGAGAGTCTTCAGAGTGTTTCTTATCTTCTCTAAACTCAGAAAATAATCTTTCACCTTCTGGATGTCTGAGCCTTTCACCTTAAACTTCAAGCTTCACGTTTTCTGCCTGAGGAGGGATCGGCCTCTCCCTGTGCTGGGATTTTAGGGGCTGGGGAGCAGAACTCCGAGCTGGTCAGCATGGCAAAGGTCAGAGTTGTTCTAACTGTGTGCCAGTTGGTGCTAGAATTGCTAATGAATTCATTAACTGAGTCTTCCATACAAAGCAACGAATGTCCACAGCTTTGTGTCTGTGAAATCAGGCCCTGGTTTACACCACAGTCAACCTACAGGGAAGCCACAACAGTTGACTGCAACGACCTTCGGTTAACGAGAATCCCCAGCAACCTCTCCAGCGACACCCAGGTCCTTCTCTTACAGAGCAACAACATTGCAAAGACCACAGAGGAGCTCCAGCAGCTCTTCAATCTGACAGAGCTGGATTTCTCACAGAACAACTTCACCAGTATCAAGGACGTGGGGCTCTCAAACCTCACCCAACTGACCACTTTGCACCTGGAGGAGAACCAGATCACGGAGATGACTGACTACTGCCTGCAAGACCTCTGCAATCTGCAGGAGCTCTATATAAACCACAACCAGATCAGCAGCATTTCTGCAAATGCATTCTCTGGCCTGAAGAACCTCCTGAGATTACACCTCAACTCCAACAAATTGAAGGTTATCGACAGCCGTTGGTTTGATTCTACTCCGAACTTAGAGATCCTGATGATTGGAGAAAACCCAGTGATTGGAATACTTGATATGAATTTCAAACCACTCTCAAATTTAAGGAGTCTAGTTCTGGCAGGGATGTATCTCACAGACATTCCTGGCAATGCCTTGGTAGGTTTGGATAGTCTTGAAAGTCTTTCCTTCTATGACAACAAACTGGTAAAAGTTCCTCAGCTTGCACTGGAAAAAGTTCCAAACTTAAAATTCCTGGACCTCAACAAAAATCCAATCCATAAAATTCAAGAAGGGGATTTTAAAAACATGCTCAGGTTGAAAGAGCTCGGAATCAACAACATGGGGGAACTGGTTTCTGTGGACAGGTATGCGCTGGATAACCTGCCTGAGCTCACCAAGCTCGAAGCCACCAACAACCCAAAGCTGTCCTACATCCACCGCCTGGCGTTCCGCAACGTCCCCGCCCTGGAGAGCCTGATGCTCAACAACAATGCCTTGAATGCAGTCTACCAAAAGACTGTGGAGTCCCTCCCCAACCTGCGGGAGATCAGTATCCACAGCAACCCCCTCAGGTGCGACTGCGTCATCCACTGGATCAACTCCAACAAGACCAACATCCGCTTCATGGAGCCCCTCTCCATGTTCTGTGCCATGCCTCCGGAGTACAGGGGGCAGCAGGTGAAGGAAGTGCTAATACAGGACTCAAACGAGCAGTGTCTTCCAATGATCTCTCACGAGACCTTCCCAAACCACCTAAACCTGGACATCGGCATGACGGTGTTCCTAGACTGCAGGGCCATGGCGGAACCCGAGCCAGAGATTTACTGGGTCACTCCTCTGGGCAATAAGGTCACTGTGGAAAGCCTCTCTGACAAATACAAGCTGAGCAGTGAGGGCACCTTGGAGATCTCCAACATCCAGGTGGAGGACTCCGGGAGATACACCTGCGTGGCTCAGAACGTGGAAGGGGCCGACACGAGGGTGGCCACGATCCGGGTGAACGGAACGCTGCTGGATGGCACCCAGGTGCTGAAAATCTACGTCAAACAGGCGGAATCACACTCCATCCTGGTGTCCTGGAAGGTGAACTCCAACGTCATGACCTCCAACTTAAAATGGTCATCAGCCACGATGAAAATCGACAACCCTCACATCACCTACACCGCCAGGGTCCCGGTGGACGTCCACGAGTACAACCTCACACACTTACAGCCCTCTACGGACTACGAGGTGTGTCTGACCGTGTCCAACATCCACCAGCAGACCCAGAGGTCCTGCGTTAACGTCACCACCAAGAACGCGGCGTTCGCGCTGGACATCTCGGACCAGGAGACCAGCACGGCCCTGGCGGCCGTGATGGGCTCCATGTTTGCCGTCATCAGCCTCGCCTCCGTCTCCGTGTACGTCGCCAAAAGGTTTAAGAGGAAAAACTACCACCACTCCTTGAAAAAATATATGCAAAAGACCTCTTCGATTCCCCTGAACGAGCTCTACCCTCCACTTATTAATCTCTGGGAAGGTGACAGTGAAAAGGACAAGGATGGCTCAGCAGAGACCAAGCCAACCCAAGTGGACACATCCAGAAGCTATTACATGTGGTAACTCAGAGGATATTTTGCTTCTGGTAGTAAGGAGCACAAAGACTTTTTTGCTTTATTCTGCAAAAACGACAAGTTGAAGACTTTTGTATTTTTGACTTTGCTAGTGGTGGCAGAGGGTGAGGCCGGGGAGACGTCAGGAGTTTCTCGCGCAGCGCGTGGCCACGGCGTGACACACATGGCAGCTTCACCAGCTCCCAGGGCTCGGCTCAGTGCAGCTCTTCCTTTTCCTTTAGTTCCTTTGCTAAGCTCCTGCTGTTGTAACCGCAGTGCTGAAGGAGGTCCCTGAGGGGTTGGGCTGGGCCTGGCCCTGAGCACCAGAGCCACGCCAGGTACCACCCCACTGTGACCTAGGCTGGTGCCCCTGTCTGAGGACTCGTGCCCTGAGAAAAGGAGACCCTGAATGATGTTAGTTGACTGTACTGTAATGTTGTATCAACTGAATGTTTTTGACTTGGAACAATGAGTTTTCTTTTTTATTATGATTATTTTTGTAGTAGTCGAAGGCTTAGGTCAAAGCTAACAGGCAATAGGGAGATGTACAGCTGATTTTTTAATGTAACAGACTAAATGGTACTTGTTCTCTTACTCTTTTTATTCTCTTTAGTAGACACTTTTGAGGAATCCTAGAGTTCTGTTGTGTTTGAATCACCACCATGAGGTGTTTGGTGAAGGCAGAGCTATAACACAGTTAGTTTGGTTCTGATTTTTTTTACTTTAGAAGTCACAATAATGTGTTGGGTTTAGCTGTCACTGGTTTGACTGGTGATCATGTTTTGGACATAAAATATATCCAAAATGGTATATAAAAAGATTGTGGGGTTTTTTTCTTGATGGAACTAGGTTTCAACACAGTTCCAGTTTGGGAGTTTTTTTTATGCATTTGTGTTCTTAGCAGTGTTTTCTCAGCACAATATGGAAAGTCATTTAAGGAGTCTTGGTATGGCTTTTGGACTGTGAGTCATATGCAGAGTCAAACCCGTTTGGCATAAGGTGCACAGCAAAAACAACGTGTAGGAATAGCACATTTTCCTTTGTGTATCCCTTTCTGTTTGCATCCTGAGCTGAGAGATGCATGAAGCTGACATTGACCTGTCATGACCAGCAGTTAGCACAAAAACCCAACTCAGTGCTACCAAACTGAAACAAACCAGTTGAGTCTTGGCATATACTTAAAACCAAAGTGAATTGGATTCCTGTTCCCTCAAAAGCAGAAATGAAGATTAAAACTAACAAGTTCTCTTTGGGTCCAACACTGAACTGTGTTTTTATAGGCTTAAAACTAACATATTCTGCGTGTTTCACTGAGCTCCTGTGGTCAGAGAGCAAACCCTGGGAGAGCAGAGCTGTTGTGTGTGCACTGGGTACCATATAAAGGCATCATTTACAGCTGAACCCACACCAGTGTTGTCCTTTGTCTTTTCTGAGTCCGTGGAAGTTCTCTGCAGGGAGAGCCACGGGCAGGGTGGGTTCTGGTGGCTACACTGCACTGGAGACCTGAGCAGCAAGCACAGCATTTTCTACACTTTGTGACCACCTTTTACATACCAGATGCTTTCTTGGTAAGTAAAAGTTAGTTGTTCAAACAACTTGATGTGCCTGGGGTTTGGGATTGGTCCTCAAATCTATCCAAGACCCCCCTAAAATTTACAGATATGCTTCAAACTTCTATTTCATCATCTCAAAGTGAAAAGTTATCACATAGTTTCACTAATAAGCTGCAAAAAACTTGAGTCCATCCCTTGGATCGATGCCTTGTTGATCTTGTGCTTCAGCTGGAAGCTATTAATTATGCATTTAAATCAAGTACTTATGCTGCTATACACAATCTTTTCTGTGTTCAGGGGATCTCATCCATGTGTGATCCTGTGACAATTAGATGTTGGGTTCAGGCAAGTGTCTTTTGTCATGGAGAAGTAACAGGGTGGAATCATTTCTTCATCACCTTCTCTGTGTTTGTTGTAATGTCATGGGAAATTCCCTCACGCCTTCTCCTCCAGAGCTTCAGAGCAATAATTACCCTGTGTGCTGTTCTAACCTGAAAGCTGCAGGCATCGCTTTTGCAGCAAAGTTCCACTCTAGTTGTGCCAGAGGAAAGGACACTGAGGCCAAGGCTGACCACAGACTGACAGTTCCCAGCCTGCATGACACCCTCAAGTTGCTTTAGGGAAGAACCAGTTCAACAGGAGTCAGATGGTCCTTCTCCAACACCTCCCCAGCTTCCTGCAGCACTTGTGCAGGACCACACAAAGGCCACAGCTCCACCTGGACCTCCTGTCCAGCTGGTGAAGAACACATCACTTGGGGTCTGAGGTGCTGGTCCATCAGGCACCATGAGCTGACCCACCCATGGGGCTGTCCCCCCAAACAGACACCCTGCTCCTCCTCACCCTGTGCCCACCTCCCATCCTTCACCCCAAGCAGCTGGGGATGCCTCTGCCTCCTGAGCACACTCATCACCAGTGTCTGCTGCTGCACACAGACCACAGCAGCTTTGCTCTGTGGATCTGTCTCACCTTGCTGTCTCTGCAGTTGCAGAAACACAGTGACTGGTGAGGAGGAAGGTGACAGGGACATGTGGCCTTGGAGGAGGACAAAGCAGCACTCCACAGTGTGCTCAGCAATTGCCAACAGCAGCCAGAGGGTACCAGGCAGGAAAGTGATGTTTAACATGTTCCTTTCCACAGGGGAATCACAGACCTTTTGTCCCCTGTTGGGCACTTTTCTGTCATTTGTTATCTTTTTAGAGCAATTCTGTTGAAGGAAATGGCTTTGTAAGAGCCACACAGCTCTCTGGGATGTGCTGATGTGCAGGACTTCAGGGAAGCTGACGTTGCTGGGAAACCTGGAGGGAGATACAGACTACCTGAGAGCTCCTAGTGAGGGCAGTTCTGCACACAAAGCCACCAGTGCTAAGTATTTGCAGCCTTTTAATCTGACCCCTCAGAGTTCTGCAGGGATCCCCTGGGAATTGAAAATTTTGCTAATAAAAGAAGAAAAAAGTGGGGGAGAGATTAATCACATGTGGCATAGCATCTTAGTAAATAACCTTCAACCTCGTGCTAGCAATTGTATTGTGCTTGCAGTTTATTGTGAGCCAACATAAAACACTCTAATTGCCTTCAAAACATATTTGCATCTGCTCCTCACTGAGGACACAGAAGCACCCCCAGTTTGCTCAGAGTCAGGGCTGGAGTCTGCCCACTTGGAAAACAGGAGGGGAAAAGCATTGTTAGCTCTCATTTGGCTGATGGTTGAGAGATGCTGTGTAAGAGTAGATATTTCATACCCAACTAAACTTCTGCACTGTTACTTCCCCTTGGTCACTCATTGGTAAAATGTTTCAGTTCCCCGAAGAGTAAATAGCTCACTCAAGCGCGGGATGCAATATTCCAGCTAAATCAGAATATCCTGTTGGATTGAGGGTGTTTTCACCCACAGACCATGACTGACACTGGACATGGCCTTGGAATAAAGAGCACAAACAGTGATAGGTTCAAACACAGCCTCCACTCCAGCCCTGCCCCACCAGAATGTTCTCAATGAGTTACTCAAAGAAGGTCATCAAGAGAAAAGCCAACTGGAAATAAGTCAGGGAATCTGAGCTCCAGAGAGAAGGGCATAAAGGTGCCCCACTGCCACTGCCAATGGGGGACATCAGTGATAACAGGAACACCTTTTGGAGTTCAAATCGGGCAACTCCTTTTGCTTTGTGCTGCCAACCTTGAGAGCAAGACTGAGGACAAGCCACTGCGCTGAAACTCCTGAGACTAAGGGGATTAGCAGCTGGGAGCTACATGTCCACAGTCTCAGGGACAGGAGAGTCACCAGGGCACATCTGTGAGCACCTCACCATCCCACAGAGCGGCGCGACGGACGAGTTGTGGGGTAAAGCACAAGGCACGTGGGACTGGAGCTGGAAGGAGCCACTTCACAACCCGCCCAGCACACCAGGAGTGCTGTTTGCCACACTGTGATCCTGTTCCACGACCCACCACCACCACCACGAATTCCAGGAGCTCCTGCTGCACTTGGCATTTGCCTTCTCACGCTCCCCATGCCGACGGCACAGCCACGGCAGCCCCAAACCCACAGCCCAAGGTGATGTGCTGCCACTGCACTTCTTTCCTCAGGAAACCCAGAGTGCCTGAGCTGGAGGGTGGAATGCTGTTTCTCACAGTGCTGAAGTCCCAGCGCTGTGTCCCTGCAGGGAAATGTCCACCAACCCCCTGAGATCATTCCTTTGCTGTGTCCTATGGAGTGAATGGTTTCTGTCTCCCCTGAACTGTCAACCTCTTAACCTGCTCCTTCCAACTGGTTTGTATTTGGTTTTGTCCTCCCTCTCTCACCCATTTGCTCTGCATCAGCCTCCCCATTCTCTCCCTGCCCAGTCAGGGCAGGTCCCACAGCTTCATCAGCACCACGAGACCTACGCTGAAGGACTTGATTTGTACTTCACTTCACTGCTGCCTGTTTTCTCCACCAACCTTTCTGCCCTGTTTTTCTCTCGGCCATTCCCTCGGGAGCCCTGGGGTGAGAGTCACACCAGAGCTGCAGTTGGGGCCCAGTGCTCCTCCCCAGTCCCTGCTCACACACCCAGCACTCCCTTCCCCTTCCCGCATCGCCCTGCTCCATCCACCCTCATCCTGAGCACTCTCTGCTCTGTTTCCCACTGGTGTGAAAGCAACAACAGCCCAATTTTCCTTTTCAGTGAGGTGAAGGAGATTTACCACCCGGTTTGTACTGTTGTGTATTTATGTCGAGCAGACCAAAGGAATGCTGAAGCCTAATAAAAGCATCATAGCGACAGTTTTTTGAAATACGTGAAAATAAATGCTTTAAAAAATGTGGAATTGATCATTCAGTAAAATTTTCAGATGACTTAAGAGCTTACATCTGATTAACTGCAGTGAGTGGGTTTGAAATCAGGTAAATGAGATTTTTCTCGGGTGCAGCTGGAAGGATTAACTATCCTTAAACTCTGAGCAGCTGTGAATCATTGTCTGTGGAATTCCATAACAGATTTTTTTTTTCAGAAATCACTTGAAACCGTAATTTGTCTCTCAGTTATGGGGGTGGGAGGATGGGATTTAAATCATATCATCCTCAGTGGAGTTCCTGATTTGCAGTGATTAAAGAAGGTTTAAAAAGCCCTTTCAAAACTGCAGCTGCAGCTTTCTGCTCCCAACTGCAGCCAAAG